ATGTCATTGTTTTCCATATCTCTTAGTTTCTTTCTTTGTCTATTATATGCCTCACAATGTAATGTTCAACTGTTTCTGTTATTCCACAGTAACTGCAGTTATCTGACACACGCTTTCCTATTATATACAATGAATAATTAAGGTTAGAGTGTCCTGTACGGATCCTGGTTATAACAGTATCTTCTCTTCTGTTTCCATATACCTTTCTTTCAATCCCCACTTTCGGTTGAATGCTAAATAAGTGTCTCCCTTTTGACTCTTTATTCCATACATCTTGCCACATACTTCCAACTGCTGTTTTAATAATAGCTTTTACTTCTGTTTTACTTAAAGGCATTTCTCTGTCAATCTCTTCTTTTCTCAATGCCGACTTGGCCAGTTTATCCACCTCCTCGTTCCCTTCTACACCTACATGGGCAGGTATCCATAAAAACTCTTACTCCTGTTTGGTTTACTCTATATAAATTCTGTAAAATTTCATAAAGTATATCCTGCCTAGATGCTGATTTCCCACTATTTAAGCTGTTTAATACCGAATATGAATCTGAGCAAACTACTACACTTATAGGATTGATGTCTTCCACCCACTGCAAAGCCGTTAGAATTGCCATCATTTCTGTTGCGAACCGCTGCTTCAAAAACAAGCCCTTTTTTTATGATTTATTATCAATTATTTATTACCAATAAACGAGCCTGCAACATATTAAACTGAAGCCACTCTTTTATCTGAAAAGCAAAAACAGAAGCTATTTTACAAAAATCAGCAAACTGCAACAAAAATGGGAACAAAATTCATCTCCAATCACCTGTGTGCAGAGTATGATTGGAGAGATGGAAAAGGAGAAAAACACAAGAGCTTCAAAGAGGAGCTGTAACATAGCCACATATTTATAGCCTATTAAAATATAGGCTATTCGAACCATATTTACTCTTAGTATCAGTATAGGACTACTTGTTTTTTTATTACAGCCCGTGATAATTAACACATTACAAAAACATTGCAAAAATTAAAAAATAGGCTAAAAGAAAGTCATCACAACTGATTTTCTCTAATAATATTTGGCAAATTACGCTGCAGCAGCAGCACTTATATTATTGCACTGGTTGGCTATTAACTGCGAGCAGACAGAGTGTCGTTCAATGCATTGGAGAATATGGCGAACATCAATAAAGAAACGAAGTTGCTTATCAGATTTCCCTAACAAGCAACCATATTTTTTTTAAATAAGCCCAAAAAACCGCAACCCGCGACCTGGGATTTTTTTCTCACGCAACTACAAAAAAAGAAGCCCAAAGTCGCGTATTATACACGGACTTGGCAACTATGTTGAGGAGTCAAACAGGTCGGCTATAAAAGTATTGATTTTAAGCCCATTCTATGTGCTCGTTTATTGTTTGACATTTTCAATTTATGTTTCAAAAATGTAACATAAAAAACACAATTGAATCATTTAAATAAATTAATTGAATTAAAAATATGTAGGC